CTAGAACCAATACCAATACAATTACAATTCAACACCAAAACACTAATAATGAAAGCAAGTAAAGGAAGTAGAAAGTACGGGGAAAATCGGGGGGGGGGGGTAACACACGTGACGACGGGTTGGGTCGTCACACTTTAACATCCTTTAAGATGTTAGATGTGGCTTCAAGCTCCTTTATCTAACCAAATAAAAGATACAACTATAAATGTGGATATCTATACAAGGAAAATAATTTAGCGTAACCAATGACTTAGTCCTACTACTTACTTGCTCCTTGAACCAGTCATGAAATGTATCGAAATGCACACGATCAAGTTGATGTTGAGTCAAACGATGCTTACGATGTGATCTCTTGATTTCTGCAGTATGTTCCCTATTCATGTAACTCGCATATATTAATTTTGTTATCAATTAAGTAATATACATATATTAAATAATAGATATAACACTTACTTTTTATAATTCTCAACCACTTCTGACTCGCAATTGAAAAGCACATGTCGATGTGCTTGCAACCTTGTTTTCTCATCCAACTCAAATACATCTACTCCACCGTACGACTCCCCGACAGTTGGAAAAAGACATTCTTCTTTACTAATCTCATGCTCAATCTCATCACCGTATTTTCTTGAACAATAAGACCTTGAATCTCCATCCTCCAAATATCGTGAGCAAAATGCCATACACTCATTTGCTATGTATGCTTCTGCTATTGAACCTTCTGGACATGCACGATTACGAACATATGATTTTAAAGTGCCCAAATACCTATGGAATAAAATAATGGTATTAGTTTGATACTATAATATTTAACAACTAAAGATATATAACAAAGATTCAGTGGTATTGTTCATACCTCTCAATTGGGTACATCCAGCGATAATGTACTGGCCCTGCATGTTTAGCCTCAGTTGTCAAGTGAATTACCAAATGTATCATAACAGTAAAGAATCCTGGGAGGAAAAGTTTCTCCATAGTAGACAATATTTCTGGAATTTTTTCTTCAAGTAACTTTAACTCTTCTACTTTTAGTTCTTTGCTACACAGAACACGAAAGAATGTACATAGTTCAATTAAAATGGAACTAACTCTTTTATCTACTGATCTCCGCAAGGCAAGAGGAAGAAGTTCTTGCATTATAACATGACAATCATGAGTTTTTAACCCAGATATCTTTCGTTTGCGAATGCAACGTGAGATATTAGACGCATAGCCATCTGGAAACTTGGCATTTTGTAGTACTTCATAAAACAACTCCTTTTCCTTTTGAGACATTGTGAAAAAAGTAGGAGGAAGATATGCTTTCCCACTAGCTCGATATTGAGGCCATAAACTTGGTCTTATTTTCATCTCCTTCAAGTCCAATCGAGCTTCTAAGTTATCTTTAGACTTTTTACCAAGATCCAATAATGTATAAATTAAGTTATCACACACATTCTTTTCTATGTGCATCACATCAAGATTATGGCGCACCAAGTTAGACTTCCAATAAGGAAGATCGAAAAAATACTCCTCTTTTTCCATGTGTTTTTCATCACTCCACTTACCCCTTCACTCGACTGGCCGAGAGTAAATTTTATATCTTTAACTTGATTCAACACTAGTGACCCAGATACTGGACAAGGTGCAGGTCTTGTTTCTTTAGTACCATCAAATGATTTTGCATCATTCCGATATTTGTGTCCTGACTTCAAGAAGCGCCGATGCCCCATGTAACAAAACTTTCTGCCATGTCTGAGCCTTCTAGATTGAGTGTTTATGTTACAAGAAGGGCATGCAAACCGACCATAAGTGCACCATCCAGAGAGAGTATCATATGCTGGAAAATCATTAATAGTCCACATGAGAGCTGCTCGCATTTGAAATATCTCCTTAGTAGAGGCATCATATGTTTCTATCCCAACATCCCATAATTCATTTAACTCTTCTATTAAAGGTTGCAAAAAGACATCAATATTATTGCCAGGAGCTTTTGGTCCAGGAATAAGTAAGGATAAAATGAAGAACTCTTGTTTCATGCACATCCATGGTGGAAGATTATATGGCATTAAAATCACTGGCCATGTACTGTGTACAGTTCGCATTGTGCCAAATGGATTAAACCCATCAGAAGCTAATCCCAGGCGCACATTGCGAGGATCTCCAGCAAATTCGGGATATTTACTATCAAAATTTTTCCAAGCTTCAGAATCTGCAGAATGCCGTATAACTCCATCTTTGTTGCGCTCTTCATGATGCCATCGCATTGATTTAGAAGTTTCTGAAGACATAAACAATCTCTATACCCTTGGTTTTAAAGGAATATACCTTAGAACCTTGGCTGGAATTTTTCTAGCATCATTTTTCCATCTAGATGCCCCGCAAACTTTGCATCATTAACATTCTTATTAGCAAACTCTTTCCTAAAAAGCATGCAATCGTTGGGACAAGCATGCATTTTTTCATACTTTAAGCCCAAGCCTTCAACTATCTTTTTGGTCTCATAGAAAGAAGGAGGCAATTTTTCTCCTTCAGGAAGCGCATCTTTCAATAGTCCAAGCAAAGAATTAAAAGATTCATTTGACCATTTGAACGTGCATTTTAAGCGATACATATGCAGCAAAAAGGACAATTTGCTAAACTTCTTACATCCAGGATACAGTTCTTCATTTGCCTCCTTCATGAGCCGTTCAAACTTATCCACCTCTGGATGAGGTTGATTTCCAGATGGATGAGCAGTATTCTCTTGTACAGTTTGATCCATGCCACCACTTTCACTGATATCAGTATCCATGAACTGTGTAACACCTACAAATGCATCATGTATCATTCCTCGCATATCATCGCCCCTTAGAGTTGAATGGCTTCGGTTATTTTCTCCAGCGTTGTTTGATCCCTTTAGAGACTCCCCATGACAAAACCAACTATCATATGATGGTATAATACCACTAACCACAAGATGATCATATGCTGTAGCCCGATTTACTTGATGGATAAGCACACACTCCGTACAAGGACATGCAATTTTTTCTCCACGTTGTTTTTCAGAAAAGGCATGATTTAAAAAATCCTCTACTCCCTCCAAATTTTCTTTACTAACTCTATCACAATACATCCATCTTTTATTTCTAGGATTGTCCATGACGCTCAAGATATTCCTTTCTTTTCTATAATTACTGCAAGAGCTACAAATTTGTTAGTAAAAAGGAGAAATTAATAAAAAAAAGGTAGTTCAAAATAAAAAACCCATCCTATTAGTAGGTAATTCCATAGTTCAAAGATATCATTTTAACAATTAAAACTATCAAACATAAATCTACTAAAACTATCATTTTAACAATTAAACTATCTCTAATTTCTTCTATGATTTTCACATATTGGTTCAATTGTTTTTTAGAATAGAATTATTAAACTTATAAATTACACTTCTTCTATGGTTTTCATATATTGGTTCACAAATCTTTTAAGAATAGAATTATTAAACTTGTATTTTATAGAAGAACCATATATCATATATTTTAAAATTTTCAAAACTTACTACTCTTATTTACTTATTTGTTTTTACTCTTTTGTTCATTGAACGTCAGTTTAAATAGTTCTAAAGCTAAATGGAATATAAGTTAGTTTTTATATATATATATATATATTAGATAAGGTATAAATAACATAACGGACCTGTACCGAGCTCCGGAACCACAATACAGACTCGGTATCAACAAAATCAATTATTAATCAAATTCTTTAAANTTAGTAAATAAGAGTAGTATGTTTTTTATTCTTTTGTTCATTGAACGTCAGTTTAAATAGTTCTAAAGCTAAATGGAATATAAGTTAGTTTTTATATATATATATATATATATATATATATATATATATATATATATATATATATATATATATATATAACAGTATACAATTATAATTTTAAAAAGCTAATATAACTGCGATGAAATCATCCATCTAAAGTTTCAGTTAAAGACTACCTAAATCAAACATGACAAGAAAGAGACATAATAAATAAACTTGAAAAATTCAACCGATTATGCAAAGCCTAAAAGGATGTGGACTTTTTTAACAATAAAACGATGATTGCAGTGACATGGGGCTACTACATGGGGGCTGAATCGATATGGAATATTTTTTCTATTTATAAACAGATCATAGTCATCATAGAACAAACATGTAAATGATAAAAAAATCTAGACAAAGACAACTTGCCAATTTTTACCATATTGGTTCATAAACTCTTTAAGAATGGAATTATTAAACTTATAAATATACAAACTTTTAAGGCTGGACATTTTGACTATAACTACCAAGCTGCCTAGTTACATCAGGTTAAGGAATACAATCACAACATAATGAGCAATGGTTTTCATGCATACTGCCCAGTACTGATCATATCAAATTTGGATATGAGAATGATGGTCAGATGTTTAGGCAGAAATTTTATCGTGCAGACTATGGCTATCTGGGCAGCACTGTCCAATTCTCAGACATTAAGGAACAAGTAGCACCTTCCTACAGCTATCGAAATAGGCGGGAAAAGAACAAAGAATAGGAAACACTTCTCAAAACTGCCACTACCCAGTGAATTTTTGTTTGATTTTTGGACATAATGGTGGCATCATGGAAGAGAGCTGGGAGGAGTTTCCAATCGCACGCATCAAAGCAGATACAAGAGGAAGGGAAATATACTGTGACCATGCTCTGTTCTTTGGTTAGGAGAGTAGAGCAATGCTATATGATGGTACAGGTGATAAAAATGATCATCCAATGCACACAAAGGATGAGGCAGGTACGTAGAAATACCAAGTGCTATGGGATCGTTGGATTCACACTTGAAGGACTATCAAACATGGGTAGTTAGCAGAACACATAAAACGATGCAATGGAACTTCAAGATCAGTTACAACAAATCAACAAGGAATCACATAATACACTGCACGATCGTGTATCTCGTGTGAACTAGATGACAAATACTACACGTAGAAGGAGGCAAACAATTACTGCAAATTGATGGAACTGCTCCTATGCGTGTCTACTAACTAAATCCAACAGGGAGGATTCACCGCTAAATTTCTGGATACTGCTGGAACAGTAATAAAGCAAGGAAGGCTGCCCAAGTTGCTGTACTGGGCAGTGCGAATGATCGAAGTTTCCATTGCATTCATCGAGCTATTTGTTACTATGTATTTCTACACATTTAGTTCTACGCCAAAAATCATATGTGAACTCATGAGGAAAATTAAAGGGCAAAAAAAATTATTTTAGGTTGAGTCTTAATCACTGGTTCATAAAGAAAAGCTTCTGACTTTTAATAAGAAAGGTGCAACGAAATAAACAACCGAGCAGCATCAATCCATTGTAATAAATCAATATAAACAATCAAGCAGCATCAATCCATTGTAAATCAATCCATATAAACAATTGAGCAGCATCAATCCACTGTAAAACAATTCATATAATCAATCGAGCAGCATCGCGTCAATCCACTGTAAATCAATCCATTGCAAAACGATTAAAAATCTATTGCAAAACGATTGCAAGCAACAGATTTAACAGGGGAAGAAGAGAAGTTAATAGGGACGATGAACTTACCTGGAAAAGAATCGATGGGGACGCTGAAGTTTGACGCAGCAGCATTTAGGACTTTTCTATGGCAGAAGTTCGACGGTATCCTTTCAATTTAGGGAAATATGTTTTCCTAAACTTTTCTAATTGGAGGGAATGATGATTCTCGTCCAAAAATTTTGGAGGGAAATGTATTCTCTTTTTATGCGGAGGGAATAGTTATTAAAGCAATAAAAAATTAATTCAATTAGTAATTTTTAGTGGTAATTTTGTTTTTATTGCAGGTAAAAAGATATCTTTTACTGGCTAATGGTCATGTGCTGCTAACTTTTCAGCTTAAAGAATTTATTAGCAACAATTGCCTTATTGTCGCTAAATAATTGCCGCTAAAGGTCTTTTTTGTAGTAGTGGTGTTTCCACAAGAACTCACAAAAGGACCCATGAAGGCAATACCCCACACATCGAAAATATCAATCTCCAAATTGGTGGTGAGGGGAATTTCATTTTTCTTTGAGATTCCACCGGCCCTTTGACATTCATCACATCGTTTCACTAGATCACTTGCATCCTTATAAAGAGTGGGCCAATAGAAACCGCAACTTAGCACTTTGGTCGTCGTTCTCGCTCCACCATTGTGACCACTATACGGCGAAGAATGACAAGTCCCAAGAATTTAACATTGCTTCTCCTTCAGTACACATCTTCTGATCACCCCATCTGTACAAATCCGGAAAAGATACGATTCATCCCAATAATAGTCTTGACAATCCCGTTTGAGCTTCTTCCTTTGGTTTGAAGAGAACTCATTTGGGATGATACTACTCACAAGAAAATTTGCTAGATCCGCAAACCATAGCACCTCCTACATTGAAATAGCCAAAAGTTGCTCATCCGGGAAGGAGTCATTGATTTCAAGGCCATCATGCGGCCTACCCTCCTCCTCCAAACGAGACAAGTGGTCCGCCACTTGATTTTCACCCCCTTTTCGATCTTGGATATCAATATCAAACTCTTGCAGAAAAAAGCACCCATCTCATCAACGGGGCTTTGGAATCTTTCTTGCTCATATGATGACGAAGTGCCGCATGATCCGTGTGGACTATCACTTTTGCACCCATCAAGTACGGGCGAAACTTCTCAATAGCAAACACAATGGCAAGGAGCTCTTTCTCCGTAACGGTATAGTTGAATTGGGAACTAATTATGGTCTTACTAGCATAGTAGACCGGATGAAAAATCTTGTTGATGCATTGCGCCACAACAACCCCCACTGCTATATCACTTGCATCGCACATGAGCTCGAAATGAACACTCCATTTGGAGCGGTGATAATAGGAGTTGTTGTCAACTTGAACTTTAGCGATTCAAAGGCTCTCATGCAATCATCATGAAGTGAAACTTAGCATATTTCGCTAAAAGCTTTCTCAACGGTTCACCACTTCAGAGAAATCCTTGATGAAACACCGGTAAAATCCCACGTGGCCCAAGAAACTCCGCAAGCCCTTCATCGGAGTTTTTATGTGGAAGTTTAGTAATCACCTCAATCTTTGCCTTGTTGACTTCAATGCTATTCTTTGAGATCTTGTGGCCAAGGACAATGTCTTCCTCGACCATGAAATGATATTTTTCCTAATTTAGCACCAAATTTGTTTCTTCAGATCTTGCCAATACTTTATCCAAGTTTTCGAGACAG